ACACACACACACACACACACACACACACACACACACATTCCTGTTTGCGTCACAGGAAGCTGAAGCCTTGGATTATGTAAGAAATAACAGAGAGCGTGTGTCATACAAAAGCAGGAAAATACTGAAACGGTCTGACACACAGAAAAACACATTCACACTTTGACCATTGTCAATTTAGGGTTTCCAAATCACTTCCAGCTACATTACATTACATTACAGTCATAATTACAGACAATTACAGACGTCTGTGGCTGATATCAATCAATTTGACAGTTAAGTTGTGAAAATGCCCAAATTGCTAATGAAGTGGTGAGTTTAATTGAATTATACAAAGTGATCAACTTACTTTCGAAGTAGAGTGAAATGGATGGATCTTTTTATACTTAATGTATGGATTAGTTGAAGTCCCTCTGCAGTAATGAAGCTTGGTTTTGCTCTTATTTCACTTGGATGTTTGACCTTCACTGTGCAGAATAATGTATGTGCAGAGTTTGTTTTCACATTTGCTGATGGAGGAGAGTTTCTCTGCGCTCCCCTTAAATCTCTGCAGTTCACAGTGTGGTGAGCAAACGTGATGCCTTCAGAGCACACACACTGAGAATGGACTTTTCAAGTTAAGAAAAATTGTCATCAATAAAAAGTTTCAGAAAAAAAATAAAGACTTACGTCCCCGGTAGACTTTTAAATACTTACCCTGCTTAGAATCAGTGCGGTCGCCACTGGGCCCGGTGTTGGGCGTGTACTTGGTATCGCGGGTAGCGGCGCTGTGTCGCGTCCAATCAAAATCATCATTCTTGTCCTGGGTGAACATGCAGATAGGCTCCTCCTCAAAGCTGCAGTGGAACTCTCCTGGTGAGTGACAGAGCAGAACCAGGCTCTTACATTCACATTCTTAGAAAAGAGAGAAGTTATGCCTTGTAGGTACAGTATGTGTGCAGTGTGACACCTACTGTATATTTATGAGATTGATGAGTGTTATGTGTGTCACAGGGGGATATATATTTATATATATATATACATCAGAACAGTCCTAATTACGCCATACTATCTGGTGAGAAGAATTTCTAAATGAAGACGTGACCTCGCGCTGACTGTGGTGGAGACGTCAGTGAGTGTGTTTGGTTCCTCCCTGACAATGAAAAGAAGTCTCTGCAGAGAGAGTGCTGCACCCTGAAAACATCCAATGGCAGTGTGTGTTTTTGTGTGTACGCGTGTGTGTGTGTGTGTGTTTCGGAGCTGGTTATTAGACATTATACCATGACAGCCCACTACTAATGCATGGTGGATAGTATTCAATAAACACAAACCCACGCACCCTGACTTAGGAAATAATATTAAAACCAAATACAAATATCACGCGAAAGAGGTTGGGAACACTAAAACCCATGATTTCTAAAGGCATTAATGGTCTTCTTCATGTTTTTTGATGTTGAAAAAGTAGTATAATGTGTATATATATATATATATATATACTGCTAATAATTTAGAGTAACTGTTTGTTTCAAGATTGAAAGCATAAACGATTGCTGGAAGTTTTGTAGTGCCCCACAAGTAGGACTCTGTGTAATCAGTCTTAAAAATTGACACCCACTCCCTCCTTCTCAATCACTCTCCATCTTTTCTGTAGTGGGTGTGCAGATGGAGATATTGCCCCCCCCCCCCCCCCCTTCTCTGTCGCTCTCCACGCCCCTTCAACTGCAATTTTTAAACTAGTGGAGTGAGCAGAGAGGAAGTGACACTGTAAGTTTCATCACCCTTTAAGAAAGAAATGTAAGTAAATCTGTAGCGCAATGCTATGATGGGTCATATGTAGGGGAACGTCTAACAGTAAATACACTCATGAATAGTTAGACGCGTGGGGAACTAACCCACTCAGTTTAATGAAGGGGTAGTGGCAAGATCAACAGAGTCAGAACCCCCCCCCCATTTAATCCATGTAACAAACAAAGCAAAACCCCTAACTAGAGGACACGGTGCTGCTGAGCAGAGTCCTCAAAGAGATAGTAAAAAAGAGCATTTGGATTCTGGGTGCAGGCATGTGTCCTGATAAATATTCATTGATTTATTAAAATGTGCCGGGAGCAGTTTGGAGTGGTGACCTTGAGAGGAGCAGAATCCGCTGCTTTTAGTCAGGTAATGGAGGTAACATAGACTGAGGTGGAGTGTGGGCGGATGGACCAAGGGTGGGAAGAAGGGCAGCGATGTTGCGAGGCAGAGAAAGCGATAGACAGTGAGAGCAGGAGAATAAAAAGAGTGGTGGAGAGGGAGAGGAAGGGGCTAGGTTGCAGGCACTCTTGCCTCTTCTCCTCATAGGCATGCAGATTTAAATGGAGGTCTAGCTCCGGGTGCCAGACACTAACGCCCCCATCCACTGTGAGCTAAACTAAATGTTTTCACCTTCTGTGCCTGGGAGAGATAGGAGGATTTGGAGGAGAGGCAAGAGGAAGGAGGGAGGAAGAGGAGGCATGCAGGTAAGATAGTTTCCTTCAGGGATTTGGATAATGATGTTGGTGATTAGGATGTTTGTTATTATGTTGGCAATGTTTGTGTAAACACCCACCAAAATATAGAACTATTCAAATAAATAAACCGCCATACACAAACGGTGCACTGCAGCACAGCAAACAACGATTAAGCGTGGATTCTCAAGGCGTGGATAATGTGAATTTGTAAAGTTTCAACAATGAAATGTGTCATAAACGGGACTAAACATTAATGGATATAAATATACGGCGCAGATGCATGCAGCAGTAATGCTCACAAAGCACACACACACACACACACACACACACAATAGCTAATATCTCATGCAAATACACTCCATCTAAACTGTCCTGTGGAGATTAAAAGCTCTCAACATGTCAGATAGCCTGATGAAGGTTTACTCAGAGTTCCTAAAAGAAGTCTCACTTTTCTTTCTTCATACCTCATTTAGTGCTACTTAAGAACACTTGGAATGATCTTCCAGTGCAGTGTGACATGTTGTGAGTCAGATCTCTACAGGATGTGCAGTTACTTTGAATCTCCCCACTATTCTCACAGACTGTGCAGCGACAGAAGGAGCTCGCCCTCTGCCGAGGCATGCTAAGTGAGGTGCACATTACTTACTCAGGTGAGGGTTGATGGGAGCTGTGAAAGAGAGAGGCCAGGGACAGTCATTAGTACAGAATATATTAGCCGTCTGTCAATACGTGAAATACTTCTTAAAAGGGAACGGAAGGCGCACGCAGCTGAACAAGCACTCAAGTTGCCGCACTTTAAAAACGCTTGGCTGATACAAGGTTCTCTACCGCAGGTCACACAGAACACAACACAAGCATGCACACACCAGTAGTTGCTGTTCAACTTTTGTCCTGCTGTCATCTGCTGTTTAGGCGCAGAGCTCATAAAAGTCTGCATGTATAACACGTTCAGCCTGCGCACAATGCTCAGTGTTCTACTGTCATAAAAAAAGAAAATGAAAGAGGCTCATGGGAAGGCTGGAAATACTGTCCGCTGATATTAAAACACTGGAAGCATATTAGAGAGTCCACGCTCCATCTTCATCAAGCTCTGTTGCTTTCACAGCGTAAACGTCGCCAAACAGGAAGCAATCCACAGGCACACACAATGCAATTATTATTGAGCCGACAGAAAGAGAGATGTCTGGGATTTAAAGTTGAAAAGGTGACAGCAGTCGTTCTCTGCCTCTTATCAAATGTAAAAGACAGAGGGATTAGGAAGACCAGCCTGACCACATTAATAAGCTTATAGCGCAACTGCTTATCATTATTGCCATTTACCGACATTGCCGATGTTCTTGTTCAAGGTGACTTCCATTTAAAGCGCTAAGCCTAATTTATACTTCCATTTAGAAGCCAGTAAATCAGAAAAAAAGTAGTAATAATCACAAGTGTGTGTGCTAATCACGTTCCCGTAAACATCCTTGATTCTTTCTGTGTTTTCAACTTCCGCCATTATGGACACTTTCACGTGGAACACTGATGACTTGAGTCCACTGAAATACATGCAAAGCTCCTCCTGCATTCTGTCCACCTAACCGCGCGGCTCAACGCTTCCCTCATTGATCATTTCAGAGGCTACCGCCGCAGCAAACACAGAAAGGTCAAGGGTATCACACAGAGTTGCAACAAGCCAGTTAGTCGGCACTTCAACTTTTTTGCAGAGTAAATACCATTTAACCTGTCAAGAAGATTCATGAGCATTTTCATGATCGATTGCTGACCGGCTGAATAAATGCGATACATCAGCTTTACCACAAAACTATGTTGCCGCGTGATTTATGAAACCCATGCTGTTCATGGGGGGAATTGATTTTAATCCAACCAATTAAAGTGAGTAATAACAAATCACTCCTACAAAGGAAAACATGTACTGAAGAGCGGGGAAGCAGTGTGGGGATGGTGGAATCAGTCTTCTTTAAAAGCAGAAAGAGGTAGTGATTTCTGTTTATTGCTCTGCGGTTCATAGAAATGTGGGTCCACTCGTTCAGTTGCAGGGTGGAGAGAAAAGAGAAATAAGCACAAAGGCACACGCAGAACGGGGGAAAGAGAGAGAGAAAACAAACCATTGCATTTCCAATTGAATCATATAAAACATTCAGTGAACTGCAACACTGCAGCTGGAGCCTCACCGCGAGTGTGGGAAGAACAGGCTGTACACTGTAATAGCTTTAACAATCTCTTATGTTACTGAAAATACCTGCATGCTACTGAATCTACGCTGGGCTGCACACTGGCACTGCTGCAATGAACGTCTGCAGAGAGGGAGGAAATCATCCGGGCTGTTGCAGGGGAAACGTTTTAAATGACAACTTACAGCCTCGGGCCTGTGAAACGGATGCCGAGTTTTCTGACAAAACTCTATTCTTTCACTCTCAACCTCCCATTTCCTGCAGCTCCCCCCATCCCAATCCGTACTGCTGCCCCCTTCTTTCTTTCAAGATTGTAGTTATGAAAATATTTTTCCTTGTCAGATTTTTGTCTTCTTTTTACCTGCAGCCTCCCCAGGCCGACTCCCGGTGCCTCAGTCCAGATGAATGTGTCTGCTCGAGCAATGTCTCTACCCCCAGAGGCTACTTTACTACACACACACACACACACACACACATGCACACGCACACACACACACACCGACAAATAATTTAACTTCCAATTTAGATTAATGTATTGGATATGGTGAAACAAACGAGGAATTAAAATACACCGAGATTGCTAACTGTTGTTAGCTCATCCATTAAAAAGCATTTTTTTCTTCAAATATTTCTGTAGCTCCTGAAAACATGAGTGAACCTCAAGCACTCGCCTAAAATTGCACAATGTTGTTAAAGCTTAGGTGTGAAAAGCCCTCAAGGTGTAAGGGCTTAAAAACACCGTCTCTTATTTCTATCTCAGCGCTGCAGCGCTCTGCTTTCCCTTCCAGCAACAAAAGCCTCAAATAATGATCGAGGATGAAATGTAATTTTGATAGTTCTTAAGATTAACACTCGTGGAGCAAAGTGAGTTTTCGTTGGACTTCTTTGAAGACTTCTCATATGAAAGGTCGTGTCCTCTGGTTTCTACTTTTCCACCTCAGAGGACAAAACAAACTGTTGCTTGATGCATGACCGCCTTCCATCCAAAATTGCCTAATTTTGATTGAAACACAAAGTGAGCTCGTTGACCGCCAAAGGACAGCGGTCCGTAGAGGCCGTTCCGGTTACGAACACTGACTTCATCTTGGCTGGATTCTCTGCCCACTGGCCTGCGGCTGTATCACAAAGCAGCAGACAATTCCACGGCCGAGGCCAAGTGTCCTCAAACACAACAGCAGCCCAGCTTCTCATATAATTCACGCTCTCTAAGATTCCCATCCATCATGTTTAAGGGGTTCTGGGTGGATGCCATGACGTTCTGAGAAAGCCCTGTGACGGCTTTACAGCTCCAACCATCAGTTGGAATAATAACAGCGTGGGCAAATGTCATTCAGTAATCTTCCCTTCATGTCTCCAAGACAAGAAATAACACAAGCGACATCCCGCTACTGTGTCCTTTAATGAAAACTGTTGCTCCCTCACGGAGGATGCACTGGTCCTGCAGTATCACACACCCAAACACAGCCAGCCCATGTCCAATAATCTCCTGTGTGTTATCCTGTTGTTGCATCAGTTAACATGTGACACATTCAAGCAAGTGAATCCTCAATGGTCCTCGAGGTGGATGACGGAAGCAGAGGGCCGTGCGTAAATTGTGCAAAAAGCAAAAAGAAGAGACTGCTAGGAAACAAGCAAACATATAGTGAGAGGTGCTCCGTATCATGTCACTTATGACAATATTGGTATGTCTTTTTTTAATGAAAATGCATTGGGAAGATGCGCTCTGAAGTTAGCTGGTTCTTTCGTTGTGCGAGGCTAACTGACAAATGTCTGCAGTCTTCTACTTCACAGACACCAGGGTGGTATCGACCTTCTCCTCTAGTTCTACACTACAGTGCCAATGAGTGCTGAACAACTCAAAACCACACAATATTTTAAGGAAATATTGCCCACCATGACAAACCCTTTGTTACAGGCTTGAGGCCCAAGTCTTTTCAAAAAAAAAGAAGAAAGAATTATAAAATATAATTTCAAAGACTGTGACTCATTGAGTTCTGAGGTAAACAGAGTTGAGCCCAGGACTGAACAAAAGCTCAGACAGGGATTACAGTGAACCACCGCTGGCCGGATAATAATAATACCCCAACACCTCAGGTATGGCAGGCGATAGACATCACCAGAAGCAGAGGACTGTATTTAATATAAGATTTAGTGGATTTTGACTTTAGGACAGGCATCTTACTGTATTATGTCCCTTTCGAGCTGCATAAAAACGGAAAATTAAGAAATAACAGCAATGTTTTACCATGCCACTCTGCAGGTTGACGCGAGGCTTAAACATTAAATCCTGCACTTTGGGGGAACCAGAGAGAGAGAGAGAGAGAGAGAGAGAGAGAGAGAGAGAGAGAGAGACTAGTGTTATGAGGAACACCAAACAGATGCCTAGTTTGTCACTGCAGCACAATTTAAAAGAGCATCTTTGGAGTTTGGTGACACAACCATCCTTCATCCTACAGCTGGGGACACTATAACCGCTTTTGTGTTTTCTTGCCAACGCACAGAAAAGCTGCTACCATCGGCTTTATGTGCTGCATCAGAATGATCGCCGGGCCTATTGGGCATTGACGAGGAAACTCACTCATACTTGGATTTTAGAGGCCTTGGAGTTAAAACTAGGACAGGAATGTTTCTCCTAACAGCTAACAAACTGCCTGTCTTATTTCTTTGGTTTATCGTTTGTTTCAGGGTCATGGGAAGTTGGAGACTACATACTGTAGTGAAAGGCAGGAAGCACCATGTTTGTCATTGCACTGCAAACACACATAAATTGACAAAGACAGAAAGACAAACACACTCACATTGACACCTGAGAGTTAGTTGGAGTGAAAAATGACCGGTTATAACTTTAAGTATTCTGTTTTTGTGTCTGATTCAACACAAAAGATTCTTTTTTAGAATCTTTTTTTCAGCATATTAAACAAATTAACATATGCCCCAGTCGGCAAACTATACAATAAAATGTTGCACACGGTTGAGTGGCGGTTTGTGCAGAGTGGTGTATTTTCCTTAATTCTTTTTGGCATATTTGAGAATGGAAACAAAACCTCATGCAAGCCCTTGTCTGCTCAGTACTCGGCACTTATTCCAACATTGATAGCCGCCGCAGCTCCCTCCACAGCCACATGTATAATAACCCCAGCTAAACCCTCAGACATCACAGTGTTTACTGCCAAATCGATGTAATGTACAACCATTTGTTGAAAATGGTCAGTTCTTTGACGTAAGTATCTCCGACTCCAACAAAAGTCTGCCTGTTAGTAATGAAAGTGTTAAATGTAAGTAGCTTAGTTAAAAACTCTCTGGTCGACGTCGAGCATAATTGGATTTCTATTTCTTCCATGAAAATACCACATTCATTTCTGTACACAAAGATAAAATAATACCCAAATCTAACATAATGATTCATCATAACTGCATGCAACACATTCCTTTCAGTTCACCATGAACTTGTATAGAGACGCACAGGTTACTGTTCCCCAGTGAGAGTGAAAAGGAAGCGGTAATGGAGATGATGCCGGGACTGTATTTCACGTCAGAAAGGATGTCTTTCGGGTCACGTTCTGTGAGCAGAGTGGATTCTGCTCAGACCCGCATGAGGCTGCTTCAGTGATGCTATGCTGTGCGTGGGAGAGCAGAGCAGCCCTAGGGTGATAATTAGTCCGGTCTCTTGTTGGGCAGCCGATTCGCACATCAGCATTGGCTGTCTTCCTTTTTTTTTCTACTTTGTTCCTCTGTATCTTCTTTTTTTTCTCAGTCCCGACTTGACTGCCTCCGTCTTCCCTTCTGTGCCTCTCTCTGTCTTAATTAGTCTCAATTGTCATGACTTGAATTCATCTGAATTCAATTCAAGGTTTGGCAGAGGCAACACAATACCACAAACTACAACGGGGATAACAGCAGAGAAAGTTTTATTTATCTCTCTTCCCCTCTTTTCCAATTCTCTTTTCACCAGCCACGATAAGCTGCAGTGAAACTGAATAATTCACAACTGCAGCAGGCAGCAGCACAACTCAGGAAGACGAAGCAGCCAGCGATAGACAGAAAACAGTCAGCCAGTCGATTCTGAAAATGCACATCTCAAGTACACGTGCATCTGTTCACTGACACTGCCGGATACTAATGTAGTGTTTGTGTTTCAGCCAGCGTGTCGTCCAACAGGCTGGCCTGCTCATACAGTACACATCATCTTCATGTTGTCCTTCTGGCCACTAATCTATTATAGTCCTGATTCAAAACCTACATCAACCAGATTTAACAATATGACAGCAGTACACTTGTTATTGTCCTGTCTTGTTCTGGGGCCGTTGTGGGGCTTAGTAAAGCCAGGGACCTTTCAAAATATTTGAAATAAAAAATGAAAAAAGCCACTAAACATCCCATGAGATAAATTACATCCTCTGGCAAAAGAAAATCAAAGGAATCACAGACCAAAAATGCATTGTTTTGTGGGAAACTGAGTCAAGCAAAGCATGACTCGTCTTTAATAACCAGCTCTGTTTGGTCTTGTGACCCGAACTATATGTCTCAGTCATCTGACGCTTTGATGTCACGATGATCTCTCACGCACAGAAACAAGTCAGACTTTGCTCGAGTCCAGAATAGACCTGACTCAGGCAATAAAGGTCACAAGGCAGAGATGATTAGTCAGTTGATCCACATTTAGTCAAAGTGGCAAAGAAGCGTAGCAAGCTGATGTCAAGCTGTCCTCTGATGACTGCATGTGTTAGATGCAATTCAAATCATTTGAATGAGTTCACTTTGTCCTTCCTACATAAACACAATGCGTCATCATAGGGATCATCGTAATGATTGGTGATAGCAGAGAGAACTTTTGATATCCATCAGTGTTGATGTATATGTATCAATATCCGGCGGCACAAACTTGAGATGGAGATAATTTAGGAGTATTTCTGAGTCAGCTGAAGGATAACGGTACCAGCTGTAGCTGTAATTCACCCACCTGTGCAACCACATGGGTGGCCAGAAGGCTAAAGTGAATGCCGGAACGTGGAAACATTCAAGTACAGCAGCAGGAGCAGACTGGTCCCTTAAAAAAAGACACCTTTTGAGTTTGTATACAGCACTCACCGCTGTATGTGACAATCCGGATGGTGGAGTCACCCTCTCCGAAACGCGTGATGGGAGTGAGGCGCACCTCGTAGGACTCAGGCTTTATGAGCTCCGTCAGGTTGTGCGTCATGAGCTCTCCTTTGTTGATTGCTCCGTCCACAGGGATCTCCTGCTCCCACCAGCGCTGCAAGCCCATCTGGATGGAAAGAGGAACCACACAATTGTTAAAAATCACCAAACATTCAGAAGTTCCGTACTTCCATGCGTAACCGCACAGATATTCTTATACATCATTTACATAATTGGGCTGAGAAAAACATTTGGGACATGAAATGCTGCTACACAGCAGGAGGAGTCGTTTGAGGATGATGTGCTTAGACAGCTTGTACACGACCGAGACGGTCAACCACATCTGCATAACCGGAAATTTAGGCACTCACTAGTTATATTAAGGAAGCAGCTGAAACTGAAGTACATGAGAAGTAAAAGTAAAATTCAACGTACAGCTATTTCAATAAATATATATATATATATATATATATATATATATATATATATAAGGGAGGTGCCAAAATGTTTGGGGACCCCTGTCCTAGATGGTGTAGTTTCAATCTGCCAATCCATCTTTTAGAGACGACAGAACGAGGTTTCTGGCTAGAAAAGCTAATTTAATTGATAAAGGAAGACTAACTGCTGCTGCTGGCTAATTCTCTTGTTTTGAGTTGCTTTCATTAGTCACTCTGTTCACGGTTCGAAAGTCCGCGAAACACCTCAAGTTAATTACAGAACACAAGTTGGACAGTGTTGGGTTTGGACTCAAGGGCACGTGTTGGCAAGCACCATCAACAGCTAGGGTGGTCAGGCTTGAAGGATAAACTTGTAGAACTACAAATCATGCAGGTACACAACATTTGGGCATCTCAAAGACCAACTTTGTAGGGTTAGAGGAACTCAAGCCCACCAGACTCAAGCTTGCAGAGTTTTAATACCAACATGGTATTCGCTCCTTTCGGCCCTGTGTTGGCAGAAATTGGAATAAGTTCCATTTTTTTACACTGAAAGAAATGTAACCACCGCAAATTTAAAGCAGCTATAATCAATACTTATACATTTATATTTATTTAAAGTAAACTAAAATACAGACAACACACTATAGATTTTATAGTATCGCCACAAAAGGAGAGCACATTCTTGAGTTTGCTCCCGGGAACATATGCAAATATGTAGAAATATGACCACAGCAGTATACATGTATATTCTCCTCGCCATCAGTGTAGGATGTTCCCTCTCATCTGCCAATTGACCTTGTCTATAGGCATTTGTATGATCCACCAACACCAAATGCAACACAACAAAACTCTTTTTCTCTGTAAGCTGTTGACAGCTCGCTGCTCATTAGACAGATTTACTTTCAAGGCACCATCCAGCCTCTGAATTCAAAGACTGCTATTAACTGCAGCAGGAATATTCTCATATCTCAAGCGAGAAATATCCTGATTCATTTTCTCCATTAAAGATATGCTTCAGTCAGCACTATACAGGCTTTTTGCGAGTACAGTACGGCCAACACCTTTGTGCTCTGTACACAATTGCCTCATTCTTTCAAACTTTGTCTCTAATCATGTTCTACAATGTTCCGCTATCCCTTTATACAGGGACCTTGAACTGACAGGAATTTCATATCTCGACTTTGCACAATGCTGAGCACACAAGCGAACTTGTCTTCAGGTGACTAAGCTCAGGTATCACACAAAAACAATTAGCTCGTGCTTTTCTTGTCTTGTGACACAATACAGCCCCCTTAGAAATTCAAAGAGACAAAACAAGGGTTTGTTGCTGCTGCATGCGCTGGAGGCAAAGACATGAGAAGTAGGGTACATTTTATCCTTGAGAATCAGTTTAAGGGGAAGAGCTGCACAAAGACAAGTTACAGCTTCTGCATCACAATTAGTGACTTTACATGCCCTTCTCACTAGCACAGAGAGACAGAGACAGAGTGAATGAAGGTGTGATAGCAGTGGAGCAAAGTCAGTGTGTGTGTGTGTGTGTGTGTGTGTGTGTGGGAGAACAATACAAATTAAGTAATTACTTAAGAGCCGAGATGATCCACAATTATGGGGTGCAAGTTCTTACCACCATCAGTTTGCAGGTAAATAGAGTGTTTTGTCTGCCACTGGTAATTGCAGACAGAACACTTATCCTTATCCTTTTTTTAGTACTAAAGTAAAATTTTATTACAAAAGGCGTGGCAGCTAACAGCTATAAATTACACGATGTCGGCCTGTACGTCTTTGTGTGTTTGAACACTTTTAAAAGAGGATGCATCATTTCAAGAACATTTGATATTGAAATAAAAGAGTTGAAAATAACTTCTTTCCCCCAGTGGTAACAAAAAGGACATCTGCTGTCTCCAAATAGACACACACAGATACATTAAAAATGACATATTTTTATATTTGGCAGCCTAGCTAATGTCTGCAGATTGGTGATGAGGGGTTTGTAGATGCTAGAGACGGGCTACCTTTGTGTGTCTGCAGTGATAGGCAGTCGTACGATTCAGAAATGATTTACACACATGACAAACATCATGTAGTATATATATCTGCAGTGGTGCAAATGCAGAAGTGTGTATTAAAACAACTAATACTGATCAATCTGTGTTTTGCACATGGACACCTTTTAAAGAACATTTAATGCACCTTTCCTAAAGAATGTGTTTATTGGAATGGAGTTTCCTGAAGGTGCAGATGCCAGGGAGAGGCAGGAAGGCACAGCGGCATGAAAATGACTGCAGCATTCTATAAATCCAATATTCAGAGATGTAAAACATATTAGTCCACTTCGTTAAATCAAACATTGTTGGACATGTGGGGTGTCATGTTATACCTACAACATTCCTGACCAACGTCATCTCCTCTGAAAATAAGCCACCAAATACATGGAATTTCACCCACGTGCACTTTCTTGCTTTTGTATTGCTGTGTATTTGCTTTAAATTTCTTCGGTTTTTTTAACCTGGAGCCAAAAAGCTTTCCAAAACTCAATCTCACATATAACTGAATGCTCATGCTCGACATCATATCTACTTAAGTCCTACTTATAGAGCAAAGCTTTAGTTCAGGCAGAGCACTGAAGTTGCGCTTGCATCAGCTGATTGCGATCAGCTGCACCATTCACCATTTCACAATTACTGGATCATTTATTTACATATAGCTTATCTTAGTTTTGTTACTTTACAAAATGAATACAATGCTCTTACTACTCAAAAAAACAATGGTATACTGTAGGTCTCAGTACAATATATATTTCAGTTCAAATGGATTTAATGGCAATGTATAATGAGAGCATCCTGTAAATTGACTCTGAGAATGTCTTGGAGTTTGTATCTTACTTCATTATTGTTCCCAAATTCCCACATCACATTGCTTGCGTGGTGTTTAAAAAACAACATTTAATTGGGAAAATAATGTCAATTAGGGGGACTAGTGTGTGCGTGTGTGTGTGTGTGTGTGTGTGTGTGTGTGTGTGTGTGTGTGTGTGTCCCAAAGCTCCAGGCAGATGGAGCCTTAAATGCCAGTCTTGGCAAACATTGACTGAAACTCCAAAAAACAACAAAAAAGGGAAGCAAATATTAAAATTCTTTTGACATCAAAAATGAAATATATTTAAATATGCAAATCAAATCAAGTTTGAGATGTTGATTGAGAGAAAAATTTACATTTTCAGACATTTCAAATCATACACATGTTCACTGGGTTATGGATTGTTGTACCTTTGTTCTGATTCCCATTAAGGATCACTGAATCCCCGCGTCTGCGCTCAATTAAGTTTTCTGTTTACATCCCATTACCTTTCATTCTCCAAAGTTTCCCCACAGAGGCAAAGTGCCACATTGATTCAAAATAATTTGACGGCTGCAACTTAAAAATCACAGCAGGATTGATTACAGGAGCCGAAAGTAAGACAGGAATAATCACAGTGGCGGTGTATTGTTTGAAGAAGGCTGATCTACTGTAGATTGCCTGCATGTCAAATATATGGCTCGTATTGATCCGCCTGCACACCCTGACTTGACAGATCAATTGAAAAAGACGAAAGAGGTGGTGGAGGAGGAGGAAGAGACAGAAGAAGCAGTTCCAAGATGGCAAGACGGGTCGAAGACGGGGTTGGAGACGGGCAATCAAGCGTCTGGACAGCCGAGAAGGCTTTGAAGTAGCCGACTGTAGCGTCAAAACAAGGCCAGATGTCAAACCTTCACCATTGCATCCTTGACAGGTGCGGTGATTTGTGTTTTGTGATTCTCACCCTTTCAATGCCTTTTAGCGAGACCTTCTTTCCCATTTCCCCTTCAGCCAGACTCTCTCTCACGGGAGCGCTGGACGATAACACAAAGCAATCCCTTTCAGAGACATAAGGTCTACCGGCTCTAAGCATTAATTCAAACGAGAAAATGATAACAATTCTCAGGGAATGGCAGGGGAGCTGCTGCTGGATCTATAAATAGATCGAAGTGGTGTAGTCCACGTGCCGAAGCTTTCCTTACTGCACCACTCTTTCACATTCAGTCTGGGGGTATCTCTGTATTTATGCATTTACACAGGGAGCATCTCCTCCTACTCATTTCTCTCTTCCTCTCACTCATTTCCTCTTGCTCACTGCGTTGACATTTTGTTTGCTACAAATCTTCATTACCAAAAGGCATAACAAAAATCCTATTATCAGTCTAAATCAATACTCTAAGCTGAGACTCAATCAATCACAGAGGGTATACTGTGTAGCAAAGCCCAGGACAAAGTCAGTGAATTTTCCTGAAGGCAAATACTCCCTTTCATTTAAAACAACAGAAGATTGGTTGTTATGCCTCGGAGGAAGGAAATAATGGTCACAAAATGTACCCTCTTGAGATATCAAGGCAAGAAGGTGGAACAAAAATGAATTTGCCCAAACAATGATTGTCTGCTAACACAGATTGTGGTAGTGATGTTCTCTTTTTTAATAAACAAATGCAGAGAGGTCGAAATGTTCAAGCACAGAAGCAGACATTATAATCTGTTCAAAAAGAAAACTGCAGTTGAAAATAGGAAAAGCAAATGTATATTCCTTGCAAATTTTCAGAGAAACGCCTGCCAAGCGGAAGATCATTTATTACTAAACAGACCGACTACGATAGTTGACAGAAAAATCATTGCGCTACGCAAACACAACTGGTTTAGAATGTGTTTTCAAGCTTCAATCCCTTGAGGGTGTAGTGTGAAACAAACATGAAATTATATTATTCATTGCAAACACAACTGTCAGGGTATGCTCGCTAATTCTGAGCAGAACCGAGATGGATTTTGCATTGCAGCATGTACTACTTTTCTCTGATGCACCTTCTTTTTTGTCAAACAGGCTCCTGCATGGCGGCTCAGCTCTGCGATGCCATGTTAACCCAAACATCTGTAGTGTTTATGGAGCTAGTTCACTGTTTCAAACTCTATGTAAACTGAAGTGGGTGCCACACCTGCTGGTGTAAATGATAAAGAAAATAATCTATAAAGACAAAGTGCGCGCCACTCTGCCATGAGGAGAGAGAGGAAGGTACACATTGATTGCCAACGAGAGAGAAAAACGTAACCATGTCATCCATCAATGCTACCAGCCTGTCATCTGTGGAGTTTACTTGAGAAGCAGGGAAAACAGGAGTTATGCCTGCTTTCTCTCTCTCTCTGTGGGGTTCCCTTCCACTCGTCTGACTGAGCCTCTGATGGAGAGCAAAAACAGAAGCAATTCGTGGAAACCACAGAACTCGTTCAAACGACCGCCACTGACAGATTCTTAGTCGTCCTGCCCGGCCCGCAGTGGCTCATTCACGTCCTCAAAAACTGCAGAATAAGACAGTCAATGAATCGAGGCGTAAGATTTGGAGCTGTCGAGTGAAAGACAACAAGCAAGCTGTGCAAACACTTCCATCTTAAATTGGCTATAAGAGAGGTTTTTAGGTGGCACAAAACGACTCGAATTCATATGAGAAGGGTCAAAGAGAGGCTGACCAATACCAATGACTCAGCGATTATTGTACCAGGAGCCAACATTTCTGGCTTTAAAAACTCATGTTCTGGCTGTAACAAAAGCTCCCCGAGAACCGATTTCTGTGGGACTGAACAACACCTTTCAGTGCAAACAGCATTTGAATGATGCACGCATAGGTTACACTGAGAAAAAGAGAAGAAACAGGCAGGCAGGAGGGTGAGTGCTCGGCATTCCTACCTGTCTGATGCCGAGTCTGTAGGCGACGATGCGGTCCACAGCGTTGGGGTTCATCTGGGTCCACTGGAGCTTGAAGCCGTAGACTCTGGGCCTGTTCTGCCACAGAGGGCTGTAGGTATCGTAGTAGAACTCTGGAGGGTAGGCCTTGCCTGGAGAGAAAAAGCAGATTCATAAGCTCACTTAGGATGAGAAACAAAATGTCTAAAAATCATATAGTGGAATTTAAGGGCCCCTGCAATTCACGTCTACCTATAAACATCCCAGAACTGAATTAAAGGGCTATTGAAATTATAGTAGAAGAAGAAGAAGAAGAATAAGTAGTAGTAGTAGTAGTAGTATATAAATATGTATATAAAAAAAGCAGCAGAGGCTGAGATATCTTTACAGTTGTGTGTCTACATGGACGTGCAGACACCATGTGACAAAGCAAGTCCTGGACATTAAAAGGCTTTCGAAAGCGGGACGATATCACAGCATGTGTTATTATTTAGTGAAATTGATGAGAATTCTGAATTCTAACTGTAATCCTTGAACGTTGTCAAGTTATAATTGCTATTATTATTATGATTATTATCATATGAGATCTCAATTCTTTGCCTGCATTTGTACCATTACTGAACAGGCATACCCTGCCCTGCCGCAGTGGTTTCTTTTATGCCTATTTTCATGTAAAAATGTAAACTCGTAAATGTTTCATTTGATAACCTAGTGACACTTCTTTAAAGCCAAAAAAGAACGTCTGAATTAGCATGACAAAGATGTACAGTATCTTCCATCATGTTCTGTTTGTTCTATTTCTATTCACTCTACAGTATAGGATATTCCTCGTTGCTGCTGTGACCCAATTTCCCCCAAAGGATCATTAAAGTTTCATCTCATGTCACGTGACATACTGTCGAGGTCTTTCGCAGCGTTGAATCAAAGCGTGTACCAGATTGTAGTACATCTCCTCAATGTAGCAAAGTGTCCGTCCCATTCAACATTACACTCAAATGACCTCCTCAGTGAAAATCATTTCATCCAGTTAGAAGCAGACTACCACGGAGATCCTCGAGATGCTTCTCTTTCAATAGCACGCTTTGCTGGGTTGGAATCTGGGAGGATTTATTTTGCGACAGCCGCGGTGGCACGGACTGAATACATCTTTCAAGATTTTCGGCTTTCCAGTCACAGCCTGCAAGCTGATTTTCTGACAGCTGAAGTATGGGAGCTGGCAGAACATTGTACTTTAATCAAGATCTAGAAACAAGCTTACAGGATGACCTTCCAGGCGAAGAATAGTAATTCACCTCAATGTCAGGTTGTTGCGTTTGCCCCTCTGCTATTTGGGCTTGTTTACTGAAGGATGACAATACCCATGGCAGATGATTTTTAATAGCCACGGATAAGACGGTGGAGCAGCCATTGTTAGCTCAAACAAAAGCAGGACTGGGATTTGATGTACCCGAGTGGAGATGCAGCAAGTAGTTGATGTATGTCAGGCAATTGCATAAACCTGTCAAGTTAGTTTATGTCATTGATGAATTATAATAGCATTATTTCCCTAAACATGTTAGTAGTCTCCTGAGGATCTTCCTGTAGACTCCTTTGTGTGAACAGATCCTTGAGCCATTTAGTTTTCTTTGATTTTAATTTGACTTATGACACTCAGGGGAGGAAATAAACTGTGACTCGGGAGTTTGTGAAGGTTCTGAGTTCAAAGGATTATCTGTCTGGTTGCAGTTCCCTGCACGGTAACACAGTAGGCTGGTGGCTCTTGATCTGGAGCTGGATCTTAATATTGCAAATAACGGATGTTTTCTGGAGATATTATATGAATGATAAGAGGCCGTCACCGCAATTAGTGGATTTGCTTGTAAGAACAAAGTAAATCCCTAAAAATGCTTCTTGTAGAGTTCAACTTTGGTGAATTCTGAAATTTGTGCCTTTGTTGACTAATAGCAAAGCGTCTTGACGGTGCTGAAATTTAAGAGCAGAGCTGGACAAAATGGAGGAAGCACATTTTATCGTGGCAGTTGCGCTGCAGCATCGGCATTTCCATAGCAAAGGCGAGGTTTGCAAGCTGTTATGGAACAGGCATCAATGGTGCAAATGTGCCCTTTGAATAAAATGAGTGGACTTTTTTTGCTGTTAGTGACCGAGTTAGCTGAGTCAGCAAGATAGTTATTAAGCTCGCAAACTCAGAGAGGTCTCTGAGCCTCTTTCTGATGTGACCAGACTGGTGATATTCTCTGTTTTTCTTAAACAAACTAAATCCCATGAAAAGACCAAAACCAACAATTAATTGACCCAAATATCTGTATAGCTAAAGCCTGTCAGCGTATTCCACTGTGCCATAGACCTCCATTGTTGCTCAAAAACACATCAATGAGACACTGCATTACAATGAACATGAGCATTGTTTGTTTCCACCCTGCTGTCATAAATACTCACTAACACACCAGAAGTGTATTAATCAACAGCTGAATATATTTTCCCAACAAATCCTAAATAGTGCTGTTTGAGTAACATTTGCAAAAAACAAATGCAGTGCCCAGAAGTTTGAGGAAATGTCTTCAGCAGGAATGAACAGGGCAGCAAAGTCACAGTATTGAGAGGCGGACAAACACACGGGATGTATGGACAGTAGGACAAATACAGAATAACGCCAGCCTTAAATGTTAAAGCAGAATTCATCTGGCATTAGAAGAGAAGAATCCGTGCTGGTTGAAGTGTTCACTCAGCTGTATAATCATGCAACATTAGCAGCAACTGATGCAAAATGACGAGAGTATGCATCTTCTTGAGATGAATTCCACGACCAGGAAAACAATATGGGGCAAACATGCTGAATAGTTAAGTAGGAGAAAACATAATCCAACATAATTCCTTTGAGTGCCTTTTACCCAAGTTAAGTAGTAAACGCTTGCACTTCATATTTAATTTGTTCGCATTTAAACAAATCAAAAGCAGCGAGGTGCCTTGGTAAGAGTTTCGGTCAGCCTCTGACTGGTTTGATCAATTCTCATAACAATAAGTCAAAATCAACTCCGAGGGCATTTTGTTCTGCATTTTAGAAAATAAATCAGTTTAATGATTCTTTGGGCAGCACACTGGTGATCACTTTGCCTTTACATGGATAAAACTGTTAAAAATACAATATCATAATCCGAGGGAAAGGAACACTGATTTATCAGCCAGATGAAATCATTTAGAGAGAAATTACTGCTGTAATGTATATTTTTAAATGTTTTTATGTTGAAGAATTGCATCTCACAAGGTTGAGACGTCTACTGCAAGTTGAAGCTTTCTGTTTTGTAGCTATAGATGCTATAAAACAAGATATCTCTATATGGCTCACTGAAATGCTAGAAAAACATATTTTCCAACAACAAAAAGCAAGGATAATTACTGAGTGCTCTCCACTTGGCAGCGTTTCACTGTATAGAGCCAGCTGTGTTTATAGCACACTGTACAGTATATGTTACATAAGCCAGCCAGGCAAGTACCGTCAGCTTTCGTCACGCAGTTTATTCTGTTATAAGGCTGATAGTGAAAGGCTGCTCTTCGCAGTGGAGCAAAGGAACAAAAGGTTAATTAAACTGACTCATATCATTGTATGTTTTCATCATATCTCTTTAAAGATTCCCAGGCAGGCTCTGCTTCAGGAACACATGACTGAAAGGATTGCATTCATTCCCTTTATTCATTTAGCCATAGGGTCTTGTACTAATCTATAACATCAATTGGCTTTTGAGGAGAAACCTTTTAGAAGTAATGTTCTCGGAGCACAGTTACAAGAATAGCAGAGACATTGTCACAAACTTAAACCAATTGTGGCCTTTTACACAAAACATACAATCTAATGTAATGAAGGCCCTCAATCATTAATACTACATTACTAGTGGCGAAGCACATTACCTAACCCTCTTACACCACTTGAAACCGATAACCCTGGGTGGGAGACATCAAACACGAAGTACGGACGGCTTAATTGATTTATTTTTAAAATCCTGTTCATAGCAGCAGACCAATGCAATGATTCATAGCAGCTCAGTAAAAAGCCTTCAGGCAAGACGTTGACCTTGTTTGCAGACTTCCTTTTCATTTTTTAAGGGTATATGAACATGCCTTCCTCTACATGAAAACACCACCATATGCTAAGCGGTGCTATATGGTGCAGGGCTGATGTGGGATGTAGGCTTTTGTGGCAGAAATGACGCTTACATATGGATGAACAGCTGGCCGAGACCAACCCAACACCACCGCATGAATAGCTAACTGACTATAGGGAAAAGACATTAGAGACATTAAAATACTTGGTGGTAATTGCCTGGTTGTGTCCTTCTGGGATAGAAAGTGAAATCTCTCTGTGGCTATTATTTTTTTTTAAGGGAAATGGCATTGAACTTGAAATGAGTCACTTCCCCCCTGACTATTCATCTTATTCTTCCTCAACTTCCTCCCTCCTCTCCTAATCCACTTGAACAAAAAAAACAAAAAAAACAGCCAGAAAGATTTCTATTCGTCGATCGTATTCACTGGGATTACATCTTGTTTGTCGTGACCCACTGTGACTTCTGTTTCAATCCTTCTCGGTGAATGTCAATGGGAGGCTGCTCTAATGACTAACCTTGTGGTATCGATGTAAAAGAAAAAAAATAGGTCAGAAAATAAAAATAGGAAGAAGAAGGGAGAAAGACGGCCGAACAGATTCCGTCCGTCCTTGTAAACTCGGTCATCATACAGGATCTATCAATGTCCGTGCGTCTCTGTGAGCCGTGGAAAGTATTCAACATTGTCCACCATCTACAGCCGGGGCGAAGTTCGACTCAGGTGAACGTGGCACAGACTATAAAGGCAGATAGCTGAGTTAATAAAAAACATGTCTGGAACTTGCAATTATTCATCGGCGACCAACACTGGTAAGGTTTACAAACCCCTGAGATAAAGAAACATGCAGGTTTGAAGGAAAAATCAATTCAGTTTTTTTCTTTTGCTTGAAGATATGCAAAATGATACACACACACACACACACACACGCTAAAAAAGGTCAGATTGTACTACTAGATTGAAGCTCAAAAAAGCCCAAGAGGCCTATTTAAAACACACCTCAAAGAGCCGACAAATAAATCAAGATGACAAAATCATTACTCTTAACAGATGATGGATCAAATAATCAAATAGACGAATGTAGAACAGAAACAAGATAGTGAGTGTGTGTGTGTTTTAGTCACAGTACAATAAATTCAATTCTAAAACATGAAACATATGCAGATAACTCATTGCAGCCAACTTTGGGCACCATGTTCCACAATGTGATTTCTGCATCATTAGGAACAATGGTTACAATAAAAAGAGAAACTGGGACCAGATGAGCACATCATAGAGCACAATCTGAATTAATTTCATGAGCAAACTCGCAATATCCAAACAATGACTCTCTGAACATCGTCCCTGAGAATTTACTTGTTCTTCTCTTGTAATTCATGACAGACTGCCAAAAAGAGGACTTAAATGTGGGGAAAATTAGGAACCGTTCTTTGTGATTTTCCAGCAAAACTGCAGGATACATTGTTTGGGGGACTGTTCAATGAAAGGAGGGAGAAGTGTAGACTCGCTATGCAGAATTTGTTTCATTATAAATTTTGGTTTTGAACTGATTAAAGAAATACACCGCCTTAAAGAGACACTTCACTGATTTTACACATGCAGTTCAGTTGACTCGTCATGGTTGGTCCTACTCAGCTTCAGTGGTCGATCTAAGGAAATATTCAGGGCTGGGAAGAGGGTGGTATGGAGACCTTAAGGAGTGGCCTAACTGCGTTGGCTTTAAATGTAGCCAGAACATATTCAGTAATTACATGTGTTTTTATTGGTCTTTATTTATTTTATAATAAATCTAAATGAATGCAATACATTTGACAGTCTAAGGTACTAAGCTTTGAATGAACTGTAACTTCATTCTTGACTTGGCTTTTGTTTGGGGCTTGGAGCAAGTGATTTTTGTGCCTGGGTGCTTATGTATGATGCACTGATGACTGATCTAAAATGTGGATGTTTGTCTGCAAATGAGTAGTTTCAGAGATGTTGGCAACTGCAGACACCAGTGAATATTTGTGTTTAGTCAAGTTTAATCCGTCCCTCACACAATCAAACAGGAGTTACTATTAGGCCTACTAAACAAAACACGCTTCAACAAAACAACTGGCCACTGCTGTCCAACTGGGCCCATTCTGTATTTTCTACTAGTGGGAGTTGGCAACCCTACACACACATTCAGCAGGAAAAAAAATAATCCATCCGCAGTTGTTGTGTGCGACCAGGAGAGACTGCACAGAAAGGTACCGGTGTTGTTGCCGACTGCATGGCACGGACAGCTAGCTGCAGTTGATTGGTGTGTTACCAAAGTCCTCTCGCGACTCCTTGTACCAAACTGTGGAGTCTAGGGGTGCTCTTGTTGCATTCGATTGCACTCGGACATCAGAGTTTTGCTCTATCCCCGAAGCAACAACTTTTCATACATTATACATATACATTTTTAATTAGATTCTCCAAATGATGATGTTATCAGGGTTATCACAGCTTGGGCTTGAAAACCTGCGGTGTATACCGGAGGTTTGAAAGAAGTGTTAGAAGATAGAGCGGGTCTAGTGAAGGATACTTTTGAGTTGCATTGTGGGAGATGTAGGACCCAAGGTTTTAAGAGTGTAGCTCATACTTTGGGCTAAAAGTACCTCAGTCTCTGCTGCTTCCATTTTGAAAGAACCCTTTTTAAAAAATCAGTTTCTTGCAAGTCCCCCGACTTTATGAAGCTCAGTAATAAATTGACAGAATATAACTTTACATTTTTAAGTCTGTGTATTTTGTGACCTGGGTTTTACACCATTACCGCTTCATCAGTACACATTTGCAGCCGGAGGGCCGGATGTACAGTAAATGCAGACTAGTGCATAAATCATCAGCTGCATCGGACGGGAATGAAGTCAGAGTCAAAGAAAAGCAGCGTGAAATACTTCTTTTCTTTATCTTCCAAATCTAACTCTTCAGGAGAGCAGGATTCCAGCATTTGCTAAAAAGTCAGGGTTCCCATGACAGAGAGCCTGAGCCAAAGCTCAGTGGTACACATTACATCCCTCTGAGGAGTCTCTCCCCTGGCACAATTTAATGGCCAACTTGGCTATTACAGCCGACTCGCTGTTTCCACAGATGTCCCAATGATTTGGCACATGGGCATCCATGCACATGCACACACTCTCCCCTGGCACAATACACTTTTTGAGGCGACAACGTTTACATAAGCCAAAGAATGGCCTCACGTCTGGTGAGTTTGCATGTTTCCGTCGGCGAGGCAATGTGTACGTAGTGCGTAGTATGTTGACTGGATCGGTGATGTAAAATCGAGCCACTGTATCCTCAGGCCAAATCTCCTGACTGATGTGTATATTACACATCAACACAGTGCAATAGGTAGTCAGGCAGAGAGCGGCGAGGGAACATCCACTGAGGTGTACCTGTCTTCACTCGGTAAAGTGAGCAACCCAAGATACTACCTAACTGCATGAGCCATAACAAATATTTAATGAGCTTCATCTTGAGATGGGCTCACAAGTCTTAGAGGAGTCGATGTTCTCTCCAGTAGATTATTTATTCCAGCCACACTACAGAAGAGTGTTGATCACATTTTGTGGCTATTGAATTTCAGGATGAAATTTTAAAACAAATCTTTAAGGATTAGAGCTTGAGTTAAGGGAATGGGGCCCGCCAGATTTCATGGATGATGGGAGGAACAAAAGTGGATTTTCTGCACCATGCTCCCGCAATCAGGGGGTTACTAAAAGAGCCTCCATACCTTTGGCAACCACTGAGTCCAGATGGTGAGAATCTGGAGCATTGGGCGGGAAGAATGGAGCGGTGGTGGGGGAGAAAGGGAAGGAGGGATGGAGGATGAAAGGGAAGGAAGGGTATTGCAGGTAAGAAGAGGGAGGGAGGGGACATGAGAGCAAGAACAGGCAAAACCCCAGCCCTGTTGAGAAAAACAACTGGCTGGAGGGGACTATCTGCTTCTGTCTCACCTCTCTACCAGGGAGGACTGATTTATGACATGCAGTGGGGGAGGAAAGGGAGGGGAAAAAGAGAGAAAGAAACAGCGAGAGAAGAGATAGAAAAATGCGGCAGGAAAGGTACGATTAGAAGATGGCAATAGATGGAGAGAAACAGACAGTAACCGAAGAGGAGAGCAACCTAAATGGCAGAGGATCAAAGTGACAAATACTCCTCCTGTGACCCTGCAGCTCCCGTCTCTAATGGGAGGTCTGGGAGATTGAAACCTTGGCCGGAGTTCCTGCGGTCACTCAACGTGGCCAAACTAATTTGGTCCTGTCATAACAACAACAGGCAATCTAATGAAAAATAGCAGAAAGTAAGTGTGTATTATCTGAAAGAACAGGTTTACTGCGTGGGAAAGAGAGCGAGCTGACATGATTGACATGTCCTGTTCAAACTGACAATCTATTATCATCTTTTCTTTCACTCTTCTCTTAAATTAATTGTCTATCTGTGGAGACATCTGTGCCACTAAAACACAGCGTGACAAGGATTGTTATATGTTTGAGGAGCCAATTTCAGCTGTCCAAAAAGTTCAAGATGAACAATTGAATTACCAACTGGAGGGCATACTGACGGAGTTACTGTAACATTGGTTTGTGTTTGATCATGTAACATTAAATCATTGAACAGCAGCTGTGCTATTGCAGCTTAGCAACTGTGACTAGGCACAAACTAACTAGGTAACTTTGGATTTCGCCACATGTTCAAGCGGTGTACGTGGTGCTGTAGTAAGAGCTATACTTTGCATTTAAAGAGTTTGGAGTGTGGTGTTTTCCAAAATTAAAAACGAAAGTAATGCAAGAAAGTGTCACATAGACTGTATATAAGAAGTGGATGAAGTCGCCATGACGTCACCCATTGGTTTGGGGACTGCCGTGGTGAAACCTCAAGTTAGGCATTTTGGTCGTCGCCATCTTGGTTTTAGGACGTTGCTGGCTTGGTTCTTGCCTGTCAATAACACGAACAACACCTAGACCAGACAACGCCTGTGGGTAAAATCAGCTGCTTTTGTCTACCTTTGTCTGGATTCAGGGGCCCATTGTTAAAAAAAATATAAAAAATCTGCCCCCATTATCATTGACAAAAGCAAAGGTTAAATCAAGCACTCTTTACCTGTAACCTGGAAGGTGCATTTGCCTGCTCCCGCCTCGTTGATGACATTGCAGGTGTACTCCCCCCAGCCGTCTCGATTCAGGCTGCGGATGGTGTACTCCGTCTCGTCTCTTTGGGCGTCAAAGGCTCCGGCGTGGAGCAGCCGGTTTGATAGGAGCCACTCGAATCGCAGCACACGGGAAGGGTGGGCTCGCAGCACCCTGCAGGTCATCACCACAGGCCTCCCAAGGCCCTGACGCATCTCCATGTAAACCGGCTCCACCGTCGGAGGGTCTGAGTGGGAGACAGAAGGACTCAGATGAGTTCAGCCAACGTTTCACAGGGACTGAAAAGGATAGTGCAAGTTAGTACAGTGGAAATATGAAGAAATACGAAAAAGAGGGTAAAGACAGAACAGAAGCTATTCGGGTGAGGGCCCTCCTGGTCAGATAGGTTGTCTCTGTCTTCCAGAGATATTTAGAGAGAAAAAATATCTGGAAGACAGAAAAGACAGTCGGAATAGTTAGGTATGAGATGTAGAAAAACAAACAATACAAGGACATATTACAGAAGTGGGGAAAAATGAAAATGGCTCTGAGCAATGTTCCCGAAGCTCGCCGAAGACCTAAGAAGCACATAACTGGAGAGAAAACAGAAGCTTTTTCAACGACAACCAACAAATCATGCACTGACAGGAAGGAAGAGAAATACTTTAGAGGACAGTCGACTCTTTTGACATGAATGGGAGCGGTAAGCCAGAGGAGGAAAAAGGTGAGATTGAAACTCTAAACAATCACCACTGCAAAGTCAAAATGCCTCAACAATAAATGAACAACATCAAGTGAAAACAATCGTGGGGGGAGCTGCAATGGGTGCAGGGAGATCAATTTTGCATGAAAACTAGAACAATGTTCTGAATGAAATCAGTCACGCTTCACGGAAAATTGGTAACAGGATGATGAAGTGCCCCTCCAGCTCTCAAAATGGAAAATTAATAACTTATTTGAGTATCTGACAGGCTTCACCTCGTCCCCCACACAGACAACCGGGTGGTGAATTATTTAGCCAGGCTACACAGAGAAAAGTGAAGGGGCTGAATATGACCTCGAAGCAACCCGGACCCTTCCTCTGCAAGGTACAATATGCATGATTCTATATTTAGGCTCATGTTCAATGTGTGTTCGATTATGTGCACGGCAACAAAACGCGTGTGTTTGTGAGGACAAAACAGTAGACAGTGCTTGTGTGTGCCAGCACCAAAATGGTTATGAATAATTTCCCCATCTTAAGCATCTTTGCTCTTGATATGCCCATACAGATGCTTGACAAAAGTCACGGCGGGGTTTGAAAAACAACAGTGAATGCTGAGGGGAAGAGACAGAATGACACAAAGCCCCTTAATTGCCTGAAATTTGCATATTCCCCGACTCATTAAAGGAGAGGCCAGGGCCGGGCATGGTACTTTTAAAAAAAGTAATATGTTACAGATCACTGATTACCTGATTGAAAACTGTAATCTGCAACATAATTCCCTACATTATTCACACACGGTAATATAATCTAATTACTGAGCCTTGCAAACTTGATAGGATATGCAATTAAAGGAACAGTTTATTAAGATTTACATCGTGTCATTTGATAATACTATTAATGGCATTATTTACAACTTTAATCAGGCATTTTTAAAAAAATTTACAAGATACTTTAATATCACAAGTGGGCAAGCCGCTAGTGTTACCGGTGTTACACGATGAACAGGCACACACAAGTACTTTACTTGCCCACCACCCCCACCGTTTTTTTTTTCGGTTGACAAATGCAAAAGTTATCAAAATAAATTGTTTGCTCCATACACTTAATTACAAATCATGCTAGAGTGAAGGCATACACTTAATTACAAATCATGCTAGAGTGAAGGCCTTCTCTGCCTTCTAGCCATACCTGACATTTTTATGTGTCAGAATATTGTGGCCAATTTACTAATTCTACTAATTTATTATTACTTCTACTTGAATTGTTGTTATTATTCTGTTCTTACGATACAATTTCGATCTTTTTTCTTCTTATTTTTGTTTCTTTCTTTCTTTTGTATATATGCACTTTTTTGTTTCTTTTTTCTCCTCTTCCCTCGTACTCTCTCGCCCTCCTTTATTGATATTTATTTTTGTTTACGTTTACCCACTAACCAGATCACACATAAGATAGACAGAAACACATACTCACACACACACACACACACACACACACACAC